TCCGCGCCACTGCGGGCTGCCGTCGGCGAACATGCACGCATGCGACTGTCGCAACTCTGACTCCACAAACATTCGGAGAAGAATCGCGCGCACACAATCTGATCAAATCCGCGCATGTTGAAAGACCGCCCGGCTGCATCTACCAACTTGATCTGCAATGAAGGCGGCTGCCTCGCGGTCGTTATTAACAAGCACATCGGCCCATGCTCTCTGTGAAGACTCCGCGCGGTGCACGCTCTTGAGGCGCCGCGTCGCGCCCGCGAAGGCAATGATATTCAATGATAGCGCGCGCTGGGGCCCCTCCGAACTGAGGACTGCAAGAACGGCATGCGATGCAACATTCTGGGGGGCATCCACTTCATAGCATGCCCCCCAGCATTTTGCCAGCTTTGTTTCCGGGGGCGGCGAGGACAAGATGCGCTTAGAAAAAAAAGAGGTTCTGCAGCAAAGGAAAAACCTTTAAAACTGTCAAATTGTCATTAATCATGGCTGCGAGCTCTTCTGACATCATGATAGCGCGGATCGGGGCCTCGGCAGGCAACGCGTTGAACCCCATTGCCCAAAGGCGAGCCATTTCTTGACAGCCCGCGCCTGCCTGCCGATCGCGTTGGCCAACCACGCCTCACAGCTTCGCGCCAGCTGCATTTGGTCGCACCCCATGCACTGACGCAGTCGCGCGGCAGGGGCACTGGGAACGCCAGCATTGATGCCTGCGTTATGCTGCGCGCGAGAACTCCTGCAATGCTCCGCAGCAGCTGACCACCAGTTCGACTGGGCACACACTGTGTCGCGGCAGGACCCGGGGCCCCGTCGGACCTGCGAAAACCCCACTGGCCGAACGCCAAGCTGTGAGCAGATCGATCTTGAAATACATGAGCCATCTCATCTACGGGAAATGCTATGATGCCCCTTGCACTGCAGACCACCCGCGCGCAGACGCCACCCCACTCATGTAAGTCATTGGCAGGGCGCCCTCGGTTTCGACCTCGGCGCGGGGTCGGCGGAGGGAGCTCGAGCTCATCTCCGTCGACGCCTGCGTCGTTCGGTGGGGGTGGTGGGGCACTGTCGCGGTCAATGCCCCCCATGCAGGGTGAATTGCTCGAAGCCCAGACGGCTACATAACGCGTCGTGGAATCGGGGTGCGAAGCAACGCAACGCGACTCAAGCTTCCGCGAAACCTGCAACGCAATGCAAAGCAACGGCTCGGAGGCACGATGCTATATTCACCGCCGCGCAGTTGGATGCAATGCAAGAGCAATGCGATATACTCCAGGAGGTGCACGCAATTCATACGCAACGCAATGTCCACGAAATGATTGTTCGCGTGCTCCTGAGGTTTGCGCGCGCGGGGCACGCGATCAACACGAAGATTGGTTGCGCGAGCAATCCGCCGACCACGTGGCCAATGAGCTGGTGGCAATGCTGCGTCATAGCCCCCTTTGGCGAACACCCCCCGCCCCCTTGTTGCGTCGTCGTGGCTTCTCCTTTTACGCCCCCTCCAATGCCGCCGTCCAATCGCGCAGCCCCGCCCCCTTTGCGAAAGGAACACATGAACCCATAGCCGTTGCAAACCACATAACGTGCCCAGCCCTGACAGACAGCCCCAACACATCACCGACCACCACCCATCAGCCCACAATACCTTGCAACGTCACAAATGATGTGTATCCGAGGTCGGCCGAAACCCAACATCCAAAGCCACCCCCCATAGCCACCCCCATGCTGACTCTCACGGGGGCGTGCGCACCGAGTAATGATAACAGTCCTAACTATTACAACGCAAGGTTTTGGTACTGCGTCTGTGCTCGGGAAGGGGCTGGCCCGTATCGCATCGACCAACAATGTAATTCGGCCGATTTGTAGACCAGTAGCAAGTCTTTCTCATTTCGAAACGCACACTACTTTTTCACCCTCCCTACGTCTAAGCTTGGGGACCTCTGGTGCACTCCTACTGGGAGCTGGGGGGCCTCTGGCGCACCTTTCAGGGTGACTTGTTCGCACCCCACGGGCTTACCAACAAACGCCCAATGTCGGGCAGCGGCTGGCCCTGCGCGGGGCCTGGGCGGATGGCACCAGTGCCCCAGGTGGACTCGTGCACGAAGCCGTCCTCCAAGCTCGTCCACAACTCCATATTGCAAGGATGTGTAATCCAGACCCCGTCAGGGGCGCCATAACCTGCAGCGCGCAAAACAATACTAAATATTCAGCCCAGCGTTTTCGAGGTCTCCTGGGCAGCCTCCCCCAAGCGCGTGGCTCATACTCAGGAATCGAATTGATAGTTTCCACAACCCATCTGTCGCAGGCATACTTGCGACCCTGGCAGCATGTTTCCAAACCTTTCGTCGCGCAGCCTCCCGCCAGCAATACATATGCAACTTGTTCATATGATCCTCAACATGGTGAATGACGCATTTCATCCAGTCAACCCATAGCTCCAGGGCTCCGCCAGCAGGAACATCATCAAAATAAGTGTCTTCATCGCTTTCCCTCTCGTCTGGTGCTTCGCGGCCTCCCGGTGCTAGATGTTCCTGCTGCGTCTTTCGTCGCCGCCCAGAGCCAAATCGCATTCGCAGCAGGCGACGCTGGGCCGTTTGCAACCTGTGGCCCACTTCAGCTCTCAAAGCCCAACTGAGGGGGGCCCATGCAAGACAACGGGCGCAACAACTACTTCAAACAAGCGCAATCAGGGAGAAACTCTGGTTATTCAGCTTCACCTCGTTCGCCACGAAAGCCTTCCAACCATGCCTTATGCGGCGGTCGATTTCCGTTGCGCCAGCATCTTGACAAGCAAGCATCCGGCCCAAGAACTTCGCGGGAGCGCTCGGCTGCAAAATCTCGATGTCCATGCCCCCAATTGTTATGTGGGCGCGCTGGCCCCGTCCAGTGCTCTTCGTGGCGTTCGTGAAGATGTTCGTCTTGCCCGGATGTAGCTTGAGCCCGACAGCTGCTGTCATGCCGTAGACATCGGCCAGCATGCGGCCGATGTGTTGCGAGTTCTGTCCCATTTACATGATACCGTCTGTGAGCCTGCATGTCGTGAGCCTCGACAACCTTGTAAGCCCCAGCTGAATTCCGTGCTTCCAGGCTGCCCACCTCTGCTTCGCCTTCCCTCATGATGTCCTCGGAGAGGGCGTTGAAAATCAGCGAACTCAAGGGGTGTGCTTCTGGTGATATCGAACCATATGCTGGCGGCGTCGGTCCGCATTTGCCCTCTTGTCCAAAGCACATCCTGGTGAATAGTTAGATGTAAGGGAGAGGCACGTCCTGCTTTGCCAATGCGTTCCAGAGAGCGTGGTGTTCGACAGAGTCGAACGCCTTCTGGAAGTCCAGGGCGGCGCACCAAAGCGGTATCCGCTGCTCCTCTGCTTGCAGCGCGAAAGTGAATAAATTATCTTCGGTGCTAAACGGGTTTAAACGTGCTCTGGAAGCCAGCCTGGTCACTTGGTCGCAACTATGGTTGGCAACGAGAATCGGTGACAGCCTGGTTGGAGGGGGAAGAAATGATAGGAAGGAGAGGGGCCTGATCTCCGACTCCGTCCTTTCCCGTGGCCCCCGGACCTTTTGGCCCCTTCCTGGGGACTGGCCTGCCATCCCGAGCGTTTTGTCTGACGGCCCCAGGGGGGCCCCAGAAATGGCCTCCAGATCTCAAAAATTGCGGAAACCCTCGAACACGAGAGTTTCGAGTCGCCACAGACCTGGGAGGCAAGAGTTCGCGGACCAAGACAAGTGAACAAGAAAACGTGCTCTTCATCGGGGTCGCCTGTCCTAAGGCGGCTGGAAAATGGATAACCCCGACTTGCTACCGTAGGGGTATCAATTTTCCAGCCGCCCAGCGTCCACGATGACGTCCCCGATGGTGTACCAAGGTTATGATGTTTCGCTCTCTGTCTACCACGTGAGGTCGGGTGGCGCCAAGAGGTAGCCCTGGCCCGAGGTGCCCCCAGCTTTCCGCGCCCAGTTGGAGCAGCCCCACGGGGCCCCTCTGGGCCTCGTGAGGCGCGCTCTGGAGGCCACCTGGCCCTCCCTGGAGAAGCTGGAAGGCCTTAGCTGGGTCGAATCGCGAGATCGGATCGGATCAAAAAAGGATCGAGCCGAACCGAATCAGATCGGCATCGTGGCGCTGACCAGAGAATCGAATCGCACCGAGTCGGATCATAGTCGGTCACGGGCTGGCTGGAGACGCCTAGGATCAGTGGGCACCCTTGGGGGGCCCCACGATATTGCGGTGACAGACCGCACGGTGACCTCGAATTCCCAGGAGACCTCACCGCGCGGTCCGTCACCGCACGCTGTCAGGACCCTGGAAGCACCAGCCGCCCGAGACGCCCCTGCTGGAGAGCGACCCGAGGCCCAAAACCGTGCAGCGATGCCACCGAAGCCCCACTGACTGATCACTCGGTGAGTTCACCACACCTTTGGGGGGCCCCCGAACTCGGGACTCGGGAGCCTCCAAGAGGGGGGCGTCCAAGAACGGGGGGTGCAAATCATAGCCCGAGGCATGTGCGCGGACGAAGCGGAGGCCAAAGGACGCATTGAAAGAGTGAGAAGAAGAATAAAAATCATAAGAACAAAAAAAGAGCAAGAACGAGAAGAGCAATAACATAAGGAAGAAGAGGAAAAAGAAGAAGGGGAAATGATATCTGGGAGATAGCATGACCCCGGCCATAGTTACCCACCACCCCACCCCCCACCCCCTAGTCATCCCCCCCTCTTTCGCCGCCACCGACTTTTGGGTGCCCCCGGAACTTTGGCAGCACGAGGGGAGCCCCGCCGCGGGAGAACGCCGCCGGCCCCCGGGGTCGGGGGCCCCGAGTCGCTCCCTGCCCTCGGCCGCTGGGCACTCGTCTGCCTTGAGCCGAGAGCTGCGTTGCGGGAGCTGCGGTCTTACCGCCCGCGCGTTCGCCTCGTCCCCCTTCCTGGCCCCCTCCCCCCCGGATCGGCCACGGCGGCGCAGCCGTCCGGCGCTCCGGCGGCGCTTCGGCGGCGGTGCAGCGGCGGTCCTGGGCTGCAGCCCGCGCACGGCCACCGCGTGGGGCCTCGCCCCGGGGCTGGGCGCCCCGCCCGCGAGCCGCAGCGCGAGCTCGGCGGCCTCCGCGGCGGTGACGACGACCTCGGCGGCGTCGGGCGCGGGGCCCCTGCCTGCGCCGCGGGGAAGTACGATCGAAAACATGGCCACAAGGACGTCGTCGTCGTCGTCGTCGTCGGCGTCGGCGTTGGCGTCGGCGTCGGCGTCGGCGTCGGCTTCGGAGTCGTCGACGCCGTCGTCGCAGGGGGCCACGGTCGAAACAGCCACTTCGTCGAACGCCCAAGGCCCTGTGGAGATACCCCGGGCGACGAGCGTTCCAGGGCGGATAGCCCAAACACGCAGAACATGAGGGTACCCCTCCAAAGCTGAGGAGGTTCTGTACCCTCGTGCCACCTGTACCCCTGCCCAGACACCCTCAGGAAGCAGGAATCAGGAGCGAGTGCCTCGAGGGCAGAAGCGCCACCCTCGCAATACGCACCCCGACGAGCGAAGCCCCCTGAGCAAGTGCGCCTGAGGAAGGAGTCGAGCAGGACAGGGCTGCTTAGCAAACGTCCAGGGGCGTTTAGTCTAAAAGCACTGCAGCCCTGGCGCCCTGGCTTACAGTCGGAGTGGAAGTCCAAGCAGGAAGCACAACGAACCTGCATGACACAGAGCTCGCTCTGCTTGAGTACGTGAAAATTTCAACTCAACTGGAGATCCAAGCCATCCGAGGCACTGGGTCGAGGCGGATGTAATTAGATATTGTCCCGCACGCAAGAGCGGGCACACACCCATACAATTCCAGTACCCGCCGCTCCCCGAGGTCCAGGGGGCACGACTCTGACGTGGTGGGTGTGGGTGTATTCTGGCGGAGGGCTGCCGCTCTGGACGGGGCGCACGACGACCTCGAAGCGCTCAACCTCCTCTGTGGACGCTCGAAATCGGTACGTGAAGAATGGGTGCGATGCCAAACAGCACATGTTGTCCAAGACCGACAGCGGCCGCTGTTGGGCAGGCGGCCTTCTGTCTCGAATAGGCAAACGTCAGCGGCGACACCGACAGCGAGTCCTGTTCAAAATGAGCAAGACGTGCTGTCGGTCGGTGTGCCTTTTCTTTCCGTACCCATTTCGATCATCCCGATCCTCGTCCTGGCCCTCCGTGCCGTCCGGCACCGGCTCGACCGCGAGGCCGAGCGCCAGCGCCGAGTGCGTGCGGCAGACCCGGCTCGCAGGCAGCAGGTCAGGGGCGGAGCGCCACGTGAAGAGCTCGGTGCTCTTCGGGGACCACTCGCCCGTGCCGGCAGCGGTGACGGCCGCGACCTGCACGATGTTGTTTGGGCCACTGAAACGCGACCCATGGGCAAAGAACTCCCCTGAATTTCGGTGACAGGCGGGCGTCTTCTGAGTACTGTGGTACCAGCCCTCTACACACAGGCGCTCATATCGAGCCTACTGAACACGACACCGCTAAAACATGGGAGCACAGCGAACCAGGGGGGACATCAACAAAGCAGGACGGCAATGGAGTGGGACAGCAGCCGTTCGAGTACCATGTGGGACCTGCTCTAAAACAAGAACATACCGTGGACGAATATACCGTTTCTCTCCGACTTTGTTGTACTACGTCGAACGCAGCGGCCGCGGTGCCTATAGTCGCATCCACCCAGAATGTGTCTATGTACGAAACGGCAGCCATTGTGTCCATAGACGCTTGTGGCTAGAAAGTGAGAACGGTATGTGGCATCGGCCCCAGATACTGGTCTACTAGCAGCAGGTAGACTTGGCCTCTCAGAGCAGTCACAACCTGCACGATGTACATGCGCAGGGGGGCCAGGCTCATCAGCCAGAGGTGCACCTCGGAGCCGGCGTCCTCCTCCACGGCGGCCGCGTCTTCCGGCCGCGCGGCCACGCCGCCGCGCGGCGGCCGCGGTATGCGCATGGCGGCCTGGCCGCCGAGGAACTGCGCCGTCTGCTGGCTCGGGGGGAGCAGCCGCGACGTCAGCTTGGCCTCGTCTGCGGCAGGGCATGGGAGCCTGCCCTACCATCTTGTTGGCTCTTGCGAGTCGACACTCGATGCTAAGCCCACGCTAAGTCGAAGCGAACCGACGCTAAGCGGCGCTGATTCAGCGCTATCTCATCGATCACCAGACGCTAATCGACGCGAGTGTCATCTAAAGACGGAATCACGAGGTTACACCAAGCTCTCATGATTTGCAACCGAGGGCCTCCACCTCGACCTTGGTCGGCCACCTCGGGAGAACAGAAAAGGGTACCGATACCGCGACTTGCCGGACCTCTCCTGCGGTGCGCTTTAGCCAGAACTAAAAGGAGAAAACGGCCGTGGCGACGAGGGCCCACCAGGACGAGCATGCAGTACGGTATCTGCTCCTATATGGACGCCCGAAACTTGTGTGGGTGCGATGCCCAACAGCACATGTGGTCCAAGACCGACAGCGGCTGCTGTTGGGCAGGCGGCCTTCTGTCTCGAATAGGCAAACGTCCGCGGCGACACCGACAGCGAGTCTGGCTCCAAATCAACAGGAAACGCTTTCGGTCTTTGTGCCCAGTCTTTCTGTACAAATGTCTAGGGGGGGAGAAAACGGGGACCATCAACAAAACTGAACGCGGAATCGTTGGGCCGATCTTGGTCAGCGTCGATCTTGGTCAGCGTCAAGTCGTGAATCATTCTCGCGAGTCGGCGACGGCCGACATGGACCATGCCCAAGATCGACATCGCCATATGCCGCGACACCTTGGTCATGGTCCCCGTGGATTCTCCCTCGAAGTTCGACCGTACCGATCCTCCCCCGAGACACCTCTGCTCGCAGTCCCAGTACCGGACGCGGTAGGCTATGACCTCGTCGGCCTGGACGGCCGGCTCAACCCACTGCAGCAGCAGCCTGTCGTGGCGGCAGCAGCTGGCGCTCGGCGGGCCCAGCAGCGGAGGCGCCACCGCAAGCGTGCGGAAGGCGGCCGCGGGGCCGACCTGTCGGGGAGACGTACGACTCGGGTTCGGAGAGCGTTACGCCGCGAATATATATATATATATATATATATATATATATATATATACGCAGACGCCCTCCGACGAATTCTGCGTGTATCTTCAGGGAGGGCGGGGGTGTACAAAGTCGCCGGCTCCCAGCAAAGATTTGTACACCGCCGCCTTCCCCTGAGGCCCAGGAACAATCCATTGGAGGGTATTAAACTGTTGTGGTGGAGACGCGCGTTGGCCTCACGAGGGTCTCAGGAAAATACCGAGACTCAATCAATCTGAAATTTGACGCAAACTACCGTTGCAAACACATCCCACGAAAACGGAACCGTCAAAATCCCACACGGGCTCGTCAAAACGCGTCGGCAAGCCCGAGTTCCGGCGAACTCGAGTCTTACATTTCCCCGAACCTGGCGCGGGCCCTCCTCGCAGGCGGCCGCGATCCTCACCTCGTAGGCGGTGCTGGGCTCGAGGCCGCGCAGGGTGACCTCCACGAAGCGGTCCGTAATGCGGACGTCCTCGCGCCCCCAGGGAGGCATCCGCATCCACCGGCCTCCAGAGCCCAGCCTTGGGCCCCTCGGGGCGCAGCGGAGTTGGATCATACCTGGCCCGCCACGGCGGGCAGGTGTCCACATCCACCGACTGACGAAGAGAAACGGGTCTTACGCAAGAGGATATAGCGACCTGGCACCACGGCTAACACGGGCCGCCAGCACGACTCAATACTTTGGAAACGAGGGCGCTTACGCGCCATCGTACGTAAGTAGCTCACGCGTGAATGTCCACGCAGTCGACCAAATCTTCTTCCCCCGCTTACCTAAGAGGCAACCTAAGGGGGGGAATGCTGACCCGGAATCGTCGATACACCGCCGATAGATCGGCGACAGGCCCCGATAGCAAATCCGAGCAGTCCTGGGCGGGATGGGCCATCGGGCCCTGTCGGTGAATGGGCGATTGGGGGCCGATGCATCCCCCCCTAACGTTGCACCTACTCGCCTCTCGGGGCCCCAATGGCACGGCTCCGAAGCGGTGGACGTGCGCGTCTTCAGGCGGCGACATCCGAACATCACTCCCACCAACCAGCGCTTCTCCGGAATCGATGAAGGCGGAGGCAGGGTACGGATTTCGCCACGTGTTCGACGAATTCCGAACGCTATCCACGTCCACGCCGCCCATGGCGTTGCCTGACTCGTTGATCGGCGAAGATAGGGTTCGGATTTCGCCACCGAGTCTTCTAGCGCCCAGGAATCCTCTGGCGCGGTGGCCTGCCTGACCCAGGGGGCCGAAAGGGGCCACGCCCAGGCAGACCGCCGCAGCTCCACCTCAAGGGCCTCGGTCACCGCGGCGGCGGCGGCGGCGGCGCTGGCGGCAACGGCGACGGCGACGCCGGCGACGACGGCGCCGGCGACGACGACAACACCGACGACGACGACGACGGCGGCGGCGACGGCGGCGGCGGCGGCGGCGGCAGCGGCGGCGGCGGCAATGGCGGCGACGGCGGCGACGGCGACGGCGACGGCGACGGCGGCGACGGCGACGGCGACGACGACGACGACGACGGCAATACCGACGACGACAACGACGAGGGCGACGACGAGGGTGACGGCGACGGCGACGGCGACGACGACGACGACGACGAGGGCAAGATCAGTCTGCATGAAATCGGCAAGTCATACCCATCAAGGTACCTGAATTGTTGATCGGCGATGGTTCGGACTCCGCCGCCCTACAGTGGAGTCGAACTGGATGGAGCCAAACGCAGTCAACATCAAACCGGCTCGGCCGACCTGAGAGGGACCCCACGACGCCGACGACGACGACGACGACAATGACGACGACGACAGGGACGCGGCGGCGGCGGCCGCAGCGGCGGCGGCGGCGGCGACGGCGACGGCGACGACGACGACGACGACGGCGACGGCGAGAGCAAGATCAGTCGGCATCGAATCGGCAAGTCAGACCAGATTGGGTTGTACATCGGGCACCATCGGCACAAGGCAAGAACCGAATCGTCTGATGCGCAGCGGCACATCGGCCGCGCCAGGATACACAGCAGCAACCACGCAAGCAAGGGCCCGCATCGGACCGTCGGAACAGTCCTTCGACGCCTTGGGTCATAGCTGAAGTTTCTGACGGCCGTTCGAAACGATCTGAGCACCCCTGGAAAACGATCGCTGAGGCGCAGACGCTGGAAGGCATCCCGAGGCTGGACAACCAGCAAGAGCCGACGAAATCGCCCGAAAACCTCGAACGTCGAACCCTGGAGTCGAACCGGATCGTACCAGGCGCTGTCGCTGGTCGGGCCCTACCCCCACGAACTATCGATTATCCTGACTCGGCGGGAGGCGGGGTTAGGATTCTGATTTCGCCACTTCTTCAGCGAATTATTTTCTTTGGGGCGAATCGGACAATGGGGCGACCGCAACATCTCTCGAGTAACTCGTGCACTCCGTGGCGATGCGCGGCAGCGACTGACCAGCGGCTTGCTTACAGCAACCTCCCAGAAGTAACAAAGCACCGGCTAGTAGAGGAGAGGGGAGAAGCCATAGGACGAGGAAACATAATGGTTGCCAAAACGGTTGTCACGCACATCAGTTGCAAAAAACCCTGGACCATGCCAGAAGTAAGATAGCACTGGCCACTAGAGGGGAAGGGGGGAGAGGAGCAGGAGCAGAAGCGAAGGTGCAGGAAGGCAATGGAATTACGCTTGGAACCGTCCATCAAGGTACCTGAATCGTTGATCGGCGAAGGTTCGGATTCCGCTGCCCTACAATAGTCGAACTGGATGGAGCCAGGCGCAGTCACCATCAAACCGGCTCGGTCCGCCTGAGAGGGACCCCGCGACGACGACGACGACAACAACGACGACGACGACGACGACAACGACGACGACGACGACGACGACGACGACGACGACGACGACGACGACGACGACGACGACGACGACGACGACGACGACGACGACACGGCGGCGGCGGCGGCGGCCGCAGCGGCGGCGGTGACGGCGACGGCGACGGCTGCGACGACGATGACGACGACGCCGCCGACGACGACGCCGGCGACGGCGCCGACGACGACGCCGAGTCGGACACCGCGAGAGCCTCGAACGCCTCGGGAGCCGCCCAGCTCAGCAGCAACGACGTGCTGCCCGCGGCGACCAGCGCGGGCGCCTCCGGCATGGGCCCCCGCCGCGTGGCCGAGGAGGCGGCCGCGGGCCCTCCGCGCGCGCGCCAGGGGCCGGGGCGGGCGGCCTCCTCGGGAGCGCCGACGGCGACGACGACGCCGACGGCGACGACGACGACGACGGCGACGACGACGAGCGGGGTCCTGCACTGCCCTCCTGCGGAGAGGGCCCCGCCGCGGCGGTGCCCCGCGGACACGACGCGGGGCACCGCGCGGAGGCAGCTGCGGCGGCGCTGCCCGCTCGCGCGGGCCGCGCTGCTGCTAGCGAGCGCGCGGGCCGCGGCACGGCGGCGACATGGCTGGCTCGGAGCCACTGAGCGGCCGCGGGCCGCGCGGGTGCCAGGTGCCCCGTCGTGCTCGGACGTGCTCCATTTTCTTGGAGTGGACATCTCAAGCTCTCCGCCGCATCAAGCTGTCTGCGTTCAGAGCAGGAACGCAGCAAAACCACAGAAAAACGTGGCATGGGCAGCGTAGCTCCGCACACGTGTCCAATGATCGAACGAGCGAGAACACAGCAAAGTCCCAAGACAGCGAGGCATTGACAGTGTAGCTCGAATCACCACAGTGGCCCGAGGGCCCCGTGGCTCCACCGCGGCGGGTTTTCCGGCCGCGGGACGCTCTCCAACAACCGCGCCTCGCCGAAGGCGGTCCAGGGTGCCCAGCTCGTCCCGAACGGTCTCCAGAGGCCAGAGGTATGAAAGAGCGCGCTCGTGGCACACTTCTCACTCCTCACTAAAAGGGGGGACCCCAGCATCACCCCCTCATCACCCCCTCCCCTGGAAAAGGGGGGGTCGGGGGTCCGAAGCTACCCCCCGCCTTTCCCCCCTTCGTGGGCATGTTGAGCTGAGGGAACCCTAGCTCAAGGAGGGGGGGGCTTGGAAGGTAACAGAGGATGCGTTTCACAGACGCTCGCCTTGGGAATATTCGGCGGCGCGTTTCGAACCGGGGGGGGGGGCCCCCCCCTCCCAAGACTCGGCGCCGTCGCTCAAAACCAGGGGGACTCCCCTCCCCCCCAAACTCCCCCCCGAATCTCCCCCCCTCTCCCAAGGGGCAAGGGGGGGGGGTTGAACCCCCCCCCCCCTGCGCCGGCGCCGGCAGCCGCCAGCAGCGCGGAGACGCAGCGACGATGACCAGATGCAGCCCAAAGGGGGGTGGCGGTTCAAACTCCCCCCACTGGCGCCGGCGACGGCGGGGCAGCAGCGACGATAACCACCACTGCCACCACCACCACGACTACCACCACCACGCCCGCCTCAACCCACCACCACCACCGCCAACCCACCACACAACCACCACCACCACCACCACAGCCACCACCACCACACTTCCACAACTCACCACCATCACCACCACCACCACAAAAACCCACCACCACTACCACCACCACCGATCTACCACGCCACCACCACCACCGCCACAACCACCACCACTACCAGCGGCACAACCCACCACCACCACCACCACCACAACCCACCACCACCACCACCACAACCCACCACCGAACCACCACCACCACCACCACCACCACCGCAACCCACCTTCACCACCACCACCACCACAAACCACCACCACCACCACAAACCACCACCACACCACCACCAGTACCACCACAACCACCACCCACCACCACAACCACCACCACAACAAACCACCACACCACCACCACCACCACAACCACCACCAACGCCACCACCACCACCACAACCCACCACCACCACCACAACCGTCCTCGTCGACGCTCCCCGCCGCCGCCGCCCGCCGCCGCAGGCGCTGGCGCCTGCCCAATAAATGAAATCGTCGTCCCCGCCGCCGCCGCCGCCGCCGCCAGTCGCCGCCGCCGCCAGCCGCCGCCGACGCAAGCGCTGGCCCGAGGAGAAGGAGAGATGAGAAGTAGGGAAGGAAGGGGGGGGGAGGGTCGAACCCCCCCCTCTGTCACGGGAAGGGGGGGAGGGGGGGGGGTCGAACCCCCCCCTCCATCCAGGGGGGGGGGGCGTCGGGTTCCAACCCCCCCCGTCCAAGCGACAACAGAACGCGCTCTTTCGAAGCTAACCACCCCCTGCTCACCTTTTCGAGGTTCGGGGTCCGCCCGGGCTCCCCTTTCAAAGGTGGGGAGGCTTCCGAAGCTACTTCCCCCGCCCTTTGTTTGGATTTTGTAGCTGGGGGGTCCCTGGCCAAAGAAGGGGGTGCTTGGAAGCTACCCCCTCCCCCCCTCCTTTTCGGGGCCCGGGGTAAGCCTGCGCTCCCCTTCCCAAAGGCGGGGGGGGTCGGAAGCTACCCCGCCCCTCCCTCCCTTCTGGTGGCTTTTCCAGCTGAAGGGCCCTGGCTGAAGGGGGGCCTTTGAAGCTACTGTTCTTTTTTGGTGTTCGGCGCCCCGTTGGTTATCGGCGTACTTTTGGTTTTCGGCGCCTCTTTGGTTTTCAGCGCCCCTTGGGTCTTTGAAGGCCCTTTGGTTTTCGACGCTCCTTCAATTGTCGGCGCTCCTGTGGTTTTCGGCGCTCCTTTGGCTTTCGACGCCCTTTTGGTGTTCAGCGAACCCTTTGGTTTTCGGCACATCGTTGGTTTTCCGAGTTCCAGTACCCCTTTGGGTGTCGGCGCCCCTTTGGTTTTGGGCGCCCTTCGGCTTCGGCACGTCTCTGGTTTTTGGCGCCCTTTGGTTGTCGACGCCCTTGTGGTTATCGGCGCCTCTTTGGTTTTTCGGCGCCCTTTTGGTTTTCAGCGCCACGTTGGTTTTCGGCGCCGCTTTGGTTTTCGGCGCCTCTTTGGTTTTCGGCGCCCCTCTGGTTTTCGGAGCCTCTTTGGTTTTCAGCGCCCCTGCGGTTTTCGGCGCCCCTTTGGATTTCGGCGCCCTTTTTGTTTGTTGCGCCATGTCCGTCTTCGGAGCTTCTGTTGTTTTCGGCGCCCGTTTCGTTTTCGGCGCCCTTTTAGTTTTCGGCGCCCCTTTGGTTTCTCGGCGCCCTTTTGGTTTTAGGCGCACGTTGGTCTTCGGCGCCACTGTGGTTTTCAGCGCTCCTTTTGGTGTTCGTCGCCCCTTTGATGTTCGGCGCCCCTTCGGTTTTCGGCGCCCTCTTGGTTTTCGGCGCCCCTTTGGATTTCAGTGTCCTGCTGGTTTCCGGCGCCTTTTTGGTTTTCCCGCGCATCTTTGGCTTTCGGCGCCCCTTGTTGTGTTCGGCGCTTTGAGGGTTTTCGTCCTCCTGTTGATTTTCTGCGCATCCTTGGTTCTCGGCGCCCCTTTTGGTTTTCAGCGCCCTTGCGGTTTTCGGCGCTCCGTTGGTGATCAGCGCCCTTGTGGTTTTCGGCGCTCCTTTGGTTTCTGGCGCTGCTTTGGTTTTCGGCGCCGTTTGGTTTTCGGTGCTCTTTTGGTTTTCGGTGCTCTTTTGGCGTGTTGGTTTTATGGTGTCCTTTTTGGTATTCGGCAACCCTTTGGTTGTCGGCGCCCCTTTGGTTTTCGGCGCCCCTTTGGTTTCCGGCGCTCCTTTGGTTTTCGGCGCCGTTTGGTTTTCGGTGCCCTTTCGGATTTCGGTGCTCTTTTGGTTTTCGGCACCGTTTTGGTTTTTAAGGTACCCTTATGGTGTTTGACAACTCTTTAATTGTCGGCGCCCTGTTGGTTTTCGACGCCCCTTTGCTTTCCGGCGTCCTTTTGGGTTTCGGTGTTCTTTGGTTGTCGGCGCCCTGCTGGTTTTCGGCGCAGCTCTTGTTTTCGGCGCTCTTTTGGTTTTCGGCGCTTCTTTGGTTTTCGGCGCATAGGGTAGTTTCCGGAACCTTGTTGGTTTTCGGCGCCTCTTTGGTTTTCGGCGTTCGTTAGGTTTTCGGCGCCCTTTCGGTTTTCGGAGCCCCTTTGCTTTTCGGCGCTCTTGTGGTTTTCGGTACTCTTTTGGTTTTCGGCTCCCTTGTAATTATCGGTGCCCTTTTGGTTTTCGGCGCCCCCTTAGTTTTCGGCGCTCCTTTGGTTTTCGGCACTCCTTTGGTTTTCGGTGCCCTTATGGTTTTCGGCGCACCTTCGGTTTTTTCGATTTACGACGTTCCTTCGGTTTCCGGCGCGCCTCTGGTTTTCCCATCCTTTTGGTTTTCGGTGGCTCATTGCTTTTCGGCGTTCCGTTGGTTGTTTTGCGCTCTTTTGGTCAAAAAGGGGGAAGGGGGGGGCTTCCAGCAAGGCGGGCTCAAAGGGGGGAAGTAGCATCTGGAGCGCGAAACGGGAGGGGGGGGTAGCTTCCGAGGGGCGGAAACAAAGGAGGGGAGTGGGGGGGTCCGGCAGGGGAGATCCAAGCGGGGGGGGGTAGCTAAGCCCCCCCCATTAGACAGGCAGGGGGGGGGGGGCTAGCTTCCGGAGCGCGAAAGGGAAGGGGAGGGGGGGTAGCTTCCGAGAAGCGGAAAAAAGAGAGGGGGGGGCGGGCTTTCGGCAGGGGAGGTCCCGGGGGGGGAGGGGAGCTGAGGGGGGCCTCCCCCCGTTCCCTGGGAGTGCACCACAGGCGTGCTCTCTCACAGGTACGGCCCGAGAGCCACCCAGGACCGCGGGCACCGCCCGAGAGGCGAGGGGGGAGGGGGCCTCACGCGGCCCCAGACATCGGGGGGGTCTCAGGTTCAAAAAGGTCTTCTGGTCGGCGAAGGGGGGCGGTCCAGGGGGGGGGCCAGCTCGGAAGAGCGCAACATCGACCTGGGATCAGCGATACATCGCCGATAGATTGGCAAGAGGCCCCCGATAGCGAATCCGCACGCTCCTGGGCGGCGTGGGGCTATCGGGCCCCTATCGGCGATCAATGGGCGATCTGGGGTCGACGCAGATCCTCCCCTTAGCCTAATTACGTATCCCTAACACTGCCCGGCTCTCTCTGGCGGCCGATCGGGACACTGGCACCCCTAGCCGCCTCTCGGCGAAGCGGAGCTGCTGGTGAGCATCCCGAGGCTGGAGAACCGCCGAGAACCCACGAAAACGTCCGAAAACCGATCCCCTCCTGAACATATCCCTCGCTAGTGTTGCCCCTGACGAAGAAGTCTTTGGTGCCGGTGCAGGCTCCCTCTCCCGATCCGCTGCCCCCGAACCATGGGGCAGACGGACAGACGGACGTCGACCACGGCTCGGCCCTGGATTGGTTAGCGCCGCAGCGCTCGGGAGTCCGCGTCGTCGCTCTGATAGGGTGCAGCTTCAAGGTTGTGCCACGCCTCAGAGTCGATCGTAATTTCTCTCCGCTCCCCAAACCCTGATCGTTGGATGCAGGAACTTTCTGGTCGCGACCGACAAGAGCGGTCG